ATTATGTTCTGTCGTGTTCAAGTAGATCAACATAATTAGGAATTAAAAAGGACAAGTAATAAAATACGATATAACATGATTTTAGTTCAAATCTCCCCTATCAACTTAACAATATATTGTCCATTTGCTATGTTACTTAGGGCAAAATTGATAAATACACAATGTAGTTTTTGGAGAAAAAGGAAGGTTAAATGATAGTTAAACATTCATTAATAAAAGAATAGGGTAAACAATAATAACATCCTCCATACATATAAGTAAGCAAGTTTATCATCATTAGCAACAAAAACACACCATTACAATTCATTAAGAAACTTTCGTGCGTTTTTTTCTTTCTAGAATGTACTTTATAAACAATGAGTTTCATAGTTTTAAAAACATCATAATATATGTTATTGCATAGATAAATATACAAGTGACCACCCAGAATCCCGATTGACTTTTATATCCGTCTATTTCTTAATTCATAAAAAAAAAATAGAAAAAAGAAATTGGGTAAAATTCTATGTCAAAGTGAAAACTATGTTCACTTTCTTGTTTTAGTTTCGATAAAAGTTTGTGTAATTTCACATTTGTTCAGATTACAATGATTGTTTATGTGTGTGTATGCACCTGTACAAATGACGACTGATCGATTGGTAAGTTGGTGAATTCTAAGAGGAAATAAAATGATATACACATAAACCGAGTACATAATATCAAGAAATATCTGCCTGATAACACAGAAATAACTGGAATTTATTCAGATTATACAATTAATAAATGGTTCATTGTCAGTGGAAGAAAAAGAAGCAACGATACATATTCGATCCTATTCCATACCACTAATAATAATCTGATATTATCACTAAAAAAACATTAATCTAACATCGACTATAGTTTCAAGGACCAGAGATTGATAAGATGATGAAATAAAATCAGTCGGTCAAACGCAACATAGAACCTACCACTTGTGTACATCGGTCTAAGTTGCCAGACACTTAGCACAGTGAAATGAAATTGTCAAGGCAAATTCTAGAGTGGTAGAGGTAGTGAAAATAGAAAAGATTAGGCATATGAAATATGATTCAAGTGATATTGGTACCACGTCTTCATTTGGACGCTTTTAGGTTTCTTCCAACCTACTTCCACTCCCGAGGTTTTTATATGTAGACGTAGGTAGTGAATGGAGCATATATAATACATCCCCCCGACCACTACAATAGATAAAGAATTACTACTTCACCAATTCATTTTCCATTCTTACATAATATCATGCGTATAACTTCGGAATTGCTAACTCGACGGTATAAACATAAAAAAAGTGTTCTGAAGGCAACTATGATCGAATACTAGTGATCTACGGGTATCTACTTTTAAAGGCCGTTTGACAGTTAAAAAGTACAACAAAGAGAATTGCTGAGTACTAATAGAGCAAAACAAAGAAGTAGAAACAAAATTTCACTGATAGTAATGGTAAAATAAACAGAAAAATACAGCTCATAAGAAACGAATGTTATCAGAGTGAGAAGTATATAATAGTGAGTCATAAAAAAGGGAGTTTAGAGAGAAAGTACATTGACCCGAAAGTTGCCATAACATATCGTGATACTATGAGATGAAACTATCAAGATCACTAATGAAAGAATCGAAATAATATAATAGCTATGATAATGACAAAATCGACAGACAGAGTTCATCTCGATGAACAACTACGAAAATCGGAATAACCACCATAGTAATATAACATTGATATTCCATACACATGTTCGACTCAATCGACAAATGAAAAGTGAGACTTGGGAAAAACACTGAAGAAACTCGTAGAACAAAAACTTTTCAAAGTGAATCAAATATTTTTTCAGTGAGCATTGTGGAAAAAACCCCTTTTACACACAATTTTAGTATAACACTTTAGATTTTAAGGAAAATACGAAATGAAAAGTTAACTATATCGTAGAACTTTTGAAGAGTTTCACAGGTTACTATAAATAATGGAAAATAGAGATGGACTAACTAACTTTATTGTCACAAATGGTGACCATTTTGAAAGAGATAAGATTGATGTAATGCAAATATCTGCCATTTATTTGTCATTACAATTCATTTGGTTATTGGATAATATAATATAAATTAGTTCAGTCAATAAAAACGTAGAACTTCGTACGTACGTACATCAGCTCAAGTTGCCATACCACATTAGCACAGAGATGCAGTTGTCTACTCAAATCCCGTAGTGGTAGATGTAGTAAGAGTATAAGCAGTAATCGGAAGCATTAGGGCTTGAAGATGTTATTCAAGGAATAAATAGTACGATTGTGTGGCATCTAAATGTGTGTCTGTGTTCTAAAATATAAATTAGTTAATAGTTTGAAATTACTTTGTATAGATTTATTTTTACAAATTTCATTGTATTCTGATAATATACTACTAACTTGTATATGAGCAAATAAATGTCTTATCAAACAATGAATGATTTTAAATTTCAACAAACAACAAAGTAGAGATTTAATTGAAAACTTCACTTTAACACACAATCAAACATTCATTGATGAAAATACAAGAAGAAATTCGATATTAGTAATAAATAATTTACGGCGAGAGTACAATTTAGGGATGACCTTTGAGCAACGCTAAAATGAACTTGGAATGTTTCCATACTTACTAGGGTTAAATAAGACGATTATGGATTAGTGTGAAGAATTAGATAGAATATTTTCATGATGAACTGACATAAGTTATAATACAAAAATGGTATTTAACCAACTGAGTGGAGGAATTTCATGCCAAACTCCAAGACCCTCTATCTTAAATCTGATTTGTTCATCCATAATTATAGACTTTCCTGATTTACATCTGATTAAGAAAACTTGATCTCATTACAGAAGTTGAAAAGTGCTTAAAAGAATATGATAAATTTTCTTTGTTTTTTCATAGAGTTTTAAGAATGAGACCTTAAGTAAACAATTTAGTGGAAACGCTAAACTTTATGAAAGACTGATGACAAATGATAATAGTTTTCAGTTAAAGTTAATGCAATCAAAATTTGGAAAACATCTCCTCACGATGCTCCACTGCCTTGTGGGTCAGAACCTTTAGATCAAAGGCTCGGGGTGTGGCCCCTTAAGAAAACCACCTGCTTCGGTTTGGGCACCCAGGCAGTATCACAGCCCCCACACAAATCGAATGATTTATGTGGCGCATATCTATTTGATGCCTCCTTGTACCAATGTTTATGTGTTTAAATTAAATAAATAAAAAACATTATTCTCAAGTTATGTATTCATTGAAGCCAAGGTTAATACAATTAAGGCTTCGTTGTTGATTACATTACATGAGCGTATATATTCTTACCTTAACCCTAAGATAATAAATCATAGCGGAAAAAAATCAGACTCACATTCAGTATGTGGTAACAAAGATGAGTAATATATGTTCAATAACAACACCAAAAAAACAAACAAACAAAATTGATCAACACTTGTTCAACTCTAATCTGAAACTTCTCTTCTTTGTTTTCTATAACTGATTAATGGATTGAATGAAATTCAATACTTTGAAATATCACAATAAACATGATGTTGTGTCTCATCGAAATTTTCTTTGAATGTTACTACTATTAATTACGTAATAATTATGAAATGGAAACAGTTCTGAATGATGATGTTCTTTACATATTATAAAATAAATAATAACATAAGCATCAGAAGAGGTTTTGTGGAGATTGTAGTAATTTTAATAGTTGAGATCATGAGTCACTTGAAGCTAGACCACCATAGAAAACCTGCTGAGGAGTCCCATACTAGGACGAAACGACCGTCCAGTGGTTCCAGGTTTTCTATGGTGGTCTAGCTTCGACTGACTCATGATCTCAACTATTGAAATAATATAGGCTTTTATTAGTATCAGTCAGTCAGCAACCACGTAGAACTTCGTACGTACGTACATCAGTTCGAGTTGCTATACCACATTTGCACAATTGTCGATTCAAATCCTGTAGTAGTAGAGGTACTAAAAGTATAAACAGTAATCGGAAAGATTAGGGTTTGAAGATTTTATTCAATGATCATAATAACTTTAATGTCTCTTCATTCGCAGATAAATCTTTCGATTTTTATCAGTATAAATACTTAGTCAGCATTATATATTAATGCGTAAAATAGTTTAATGAATAAATTGAAATTCTAGGGGAAGAAACTGTCATGAAGAATTTGAATTTGGAATAAAATCAAAATCTTGGAGATAAAACACTGAATAGCTGTTATTGAGACTCATTCACAATTAACCATTACACGGATTTTTAATCCTTATTTTAAATTTTTCATAATTTTGATGTTTGGGTTGTTTCTCTTTGAAGAAGCTTGAACTAGAATGTCGACTCAAACACTGGAATTACTTAATATTAAGGTTTTCTTTAATGATTACCAGAAAGATTATTAGGTTAATCTTACAGTATAAAACCAATAAAAACATAAAAGGTAAATGAAATCGACTCGTATCGGTTGTTTGAATGTTTGCATTGATGTTTAGGACTGCAATGAACCGATCTGTTTGGTATGCGTGCATCCTATGCGAATTATCTTTATGACACAAGTCGATATATAATAGATTAAATATGGCTAGCAGTGGAACTCAGGATGCGCATCCCATCCAATTTGAAACACGTCAGTTCGATGTACCTGCATCTCAGACTTGATGTTCACCCTAGAACTCAAACCCAATACCGTCTGCTTCAAGAGAGACTAATCAATTGCAATCCTTCAAATCAATAGGAAGATCCAAGCACCTAATATAAATGAAGTACACTTCCCCCTTAATGCATAAGCCAGTGGTTATATGGACTTAGTAGCTAAGTAGATAACGTAGCAGGGTTTGAAGCGAACGTTAATAGGTTAGAGTCACGGAGTGGACATCAACTCTGGTGCGGGTACATCCAGATGACGAAACAGAAGTTCTGAATTCTGTGGTTAGCCATTATCTATTTACAGTTATCAGAAAAACGTAGTTAAATTAATACTTACCATTTGTACAATTGCTAAGACAATTTGGCCATTTGAAGCATATACATGATTTGAAATTATCCATATTATTATTATTATTATTAATTGTTTGTGGTAAATTTGACTTATCGACATAATGATTATCTGATAATGATGAATCAATATCTTTATTGTCTTGTTGTTTTTGTATGAAATTAACATAGTGTTGATGTGCTGATGGTGTCGGTTTCAAATTCTCAGCATTTACATTATGAAACGAATATTTGTAGTGAATGAAGAAAATGAACAAAGATAGTATTAATGTGTAAATGTTGATGAAATGTTGACTTGAACTGATTAGCATTTCAGCGAAATCTATTTTTTTTTTTTGAAAACGGAATAAATGAAAAAAACAGGTTAATGAATCATTACTATCAATTTGTAACTAGGGGGGGGGTAATAATTAAACTATAATATAGATATAATGTACTAACCATATATATATAATCATACACTTCTGAGTTGGTATTCATAGAAGCATACTGACTGATATGATACTAAAATGTTATGTGAACTCTTTTATACAAACAATCAAACAGGAATAACATAAGCAAACTGAGATAGTCTCATTCAGTCGATCAGTTAGTCATATAAAGTGTAGAACGTAGCATATCATTTTGAATTATCTCATACTATCATCATCGTGAGATGAAATTGTCAAGATAAATCTTAGAGTAGTACTGGGAGAAGGAGAAACGGCAACAGTATTAGTGGTAGTAGAAAACATTAGGCATATATTGTATAATTCCAGAAAGAACAATAAATTTGCAGAGAGAATTATAAGATGATTTTGAAACTTAAGATCTAAAGGAAGATAAAGAGTGAACATATTTATGCTATTAATATTTTTTCTGAGCTACTATGTTCAAGGTTACCTACCATTGATCATCAAAATAGCGCGCAACCCAATCAAGTTCGAAATTACTTACAAATCTTAGTCCAACTATCAGTGCCCAAATGTAAGGTCATTGTATGACTACTTATAACTTGAATTCAACCTACTCTAACACCTGTAAACATTGTACACTGAGATAACCGATGGTCCAGTATACACAATACATGAAAACTTGAAGTTATCAAGCTTTGATATCGCTTTTTTTTAAAATCTGTATTAATCCTACATTTCATTTACTTATATCTAAAGTTCCTTATATTTTAAATCTTCTTCTAATCAACTTTTAATTAACTCTCAATTATTATATCAAGTGAATTAGTAGTTTGAAAGCTTTATACACACACACACGCAATAGAAACATACAAATAAAACTTAAACATTAAATTATGTTAACAAATTATTCTCTGTGTAATTGTGTCATTTCTAACTAAGGCAATATTGCGTGTCAAGTAATAATAATAATAATAATAATAATAATAATAATAATGATAATAATAATAATAATAATAATAATAATAATAATAATAATGGTGATAAGTAATAATGGTGATAGTAGTAGTAATAATAATAATAATAATAGTGGTAGTAATAACAATAATGGTGATAAGTAATAATAGCAGTGCTAGTAGTAATAATAACAGTAATGATAATGGCAATAATAATGACAGCAATAATAATAGTAATAATAATAATGATGGCAATAATAATAAGAGTAATAATAATAGTAGTATAAGTAGTAGTACTCGAAAGTTGAAAACATCTATCAATAAAACATAAATTAATTCCTAATTAATTTATCCGTGTTTTCAGTCATTTCTATAATAAAAATTAGATCATATCACAATATGCAAAAGATAAGTAAACAATTATATACCTATAGATATCAATATTAAAGTTAGATTGAAATAGTTTCAAATCATTTAAGTATTGGATAAAGATTTAATAACAGAATCTATAAAATTATTTGTTATATTTTAATGAGTAGGAGAAAAAATTGTATTTCTGACGTTTCGTGACTTAATTTAAGTTACTTCTTCAAAGTAAACAAATAATGTGTTCATTTAAATTAATACAAGTTGAAATAGTATAAAGGAAACAGTTATACATACATATAATTCATTTTTTATTATATTTTATCACTTATGTGAAATAAACAAATAAATAAATAAGAGAATAAGTGAAAAAGAGAATTAATTATCCCATATATATACATCAGAAGAAGTGATATAATCAAATTACCAAACCAGTTCATTCATTTCTATGCTAATTTTATTCTGTTCATTTTTATAGTTAGCATTTTGAATTAACTAAAAGAACTATATGGGATAGATACATATTTATGGACAAGTTGGATAAATGTGATAAAATAGATTGAATATGCTTGTGTGTGGGCGCACAACGATTAATCAATAAAGGAACTTATATTTAAGGAAATGAACTAATAAAATACAATTAAGAGAGAAAAAAACAGTAGACAAGTATGAATAATGAGATGAAAAGGAATGAAAAGAAAAATGCTACAATCCATAATGATTGACAGAGAGTAGTTTATGATGTGAACATTTAAATTTATCAATCCTAAAACAACACGTAGTAGTAATTAATATGTGCCTACTGGAGCTCTAGTGAAAAGCTGCAAGCAGTAGAGTACACCTGTGTTCGGTTTAAGGTTAAGAGCTTACTTAGATGTCTAGCGGTCCTCAAGCTAATCCTATCGTGGATGTGTACTGTAAAGGAGTTTCGTGATAAAATGAAGTAGTCAACTAGTATTTACTAGTTTTTAATGGTTGTCTAACCAAATTTAGTCAAACAGAAGTTCCGGTACTGTATCCTTATATGCAATCTTTCTCCTATATATTACCACCTTTAACCTAACCACTCTTATGAATCCGGTGTTCATCTTGCTGTGCTAACGAGGTATGGCAACCTGGACCGATGCATATATGTGCCTGGTCCTACGTTGTAGTTGACTGACTGACTTTAATGATTGTAAAATAATGTCAAACTATACGCATTGCATGGTAGTGTTTAAATTCTAAATATTCTTAAAAATAATTAGGAAGTAAATCGTAGGGTAAGATTTTTCTTCTATGTATAAGATAACGATAACATATTTGTCTTTTCATCAATCAATTACAAGCAACGTACAACCTAGCATCTACCTACATCGGATCAAGTCACCTCACCATATCAACACAATAAGATAAATTATCTAGGTAAATGTCAAAGTAATATTAATAGTAAAAAAACATTGGGTATGAATGAGTTATGTTGGATAGATCTGCTCGACTGAAACCGATTCTAAACTATATCACTCAATGTCTACAATTATTAGCCATGATAATCATACTGACTCTAACGAGATATTCTGCACTTACTAACATATTTTTACATCTATTTTATTAATTCCAGACTAATACAAGAGGAAACAAAAAGTGATTTTTTTATTATTGAAGACCAATATTCTTCAATAAATACATACACTTACACACACCTGTTCTATATGTAATTAGTAAAGTGTCTAACTGATGATTATCAATTATATTTTACTGTAAAACACTTAGAAACAACTTTTTTTTAGAACTTAAAAACTTAGTATTTATTCTTTCTTATTCAGATTTTATACATGTTTTACCAATTAAGTGTTTATATTTGTGTATAAAAAAAAAGAAGAGGAAATCTAAAAGTTGTTTTACGACAAACAAAAAAACATCTGCCAATCAATCAGTCATAAAAATAACCAACTGTTCATATCAACAAAATAAAGTTGTAACATCATTAAAGAGGTATAAATATAGTGTCAAAACAGTAAGTTCATTTATAAACGATTAAGTATTAGCATTAGATTTCTTGATCACTCCCCAATTATAACCGTTCTCTCTTATACTGCTAGAGTTAGCATTAGAGGAAATGAAAACAGTCTATGAAATAAATTGACTGTTGGAATAAACGGAGGAAGCAACAGATGAAAAGTACATTGTAAAGATTATTGAGATAATTACAATCTATAGGTTAGTATTGAAATGACGATGTAATACTTAAGCAGTAATTTAATTAGATACTAAATAACCTAAAATTGTCAGATTTTCCAATCACATTTATTTGTTCGTTGATTTTTAATCATGTTTATTTATATGTCCAATATTTTGTATATCAGCATGCTGTTTTATTTTTTAAAAAATCTATTCTGTTGGACAGTTGGGTGTCTTGTTTTCTGGTATCAGTTCAATCAGGGACTTAAATCAATAGTTCAGTTTTGAATGGAGTCATTATTTCGCAACATTGTAGCATTGCACATCAACAACCGATTAGCACTGGAATAACAAGGAATATATTAAGGTTAACAAGTAAAAGGACATGATTCTACAAGAAATCAATTATTTCAGAGTAACTAAACTTTTAAGATTCAGATGATCAAAGAACAGTTAATAAAAATTCTGCATTGTCATTTACTTGAATTCATATTCTCTAGATTCTAGCTTATAAATCCCTTGAGTTCAGTCATTTCATTAGAGTAAAAGTAAAAGTGAATTGAGAGAAGTAAGAAAGATATGCTAAAAATCTAGTCGCATAAAAGTAAAACGGATTGCAGCTGAAAATTAATAAATTGTAGTCTTTCGATGTGTATGCTGATAAATCATATCTTGACAATCCATAACTTCGTGGTTTGTCAATTTACACTAACACGAGGCGCATGTGACTTACCATAAATCAAATTCAACCAAATGCGTTTTAGTAAGGCAATACGTTAGAATGCAAAACGATGGTGTCATCTTAAAACGTAAAGCCCGGCGAACTAGTTGGCTGACCATTGCGTTTTGTGTTCTGACATCTGATTTCCAATACAGTAAGACCATTAGAGATATTATTATCCGACTTTCTAATAATTAATGCTTATAATGATCATGTGTTGACGTTTTAAAAAATAAGCGTTACTGCTATCGTTTTAAGTGACAAATCGTCATTTTCAACACTAAATCTCACATTTGAACAACTAATCACCAAGTATTTGGTCCGTGGTTGGTCACTTTTACTATCAAATATGAATGACTAATAGCCATCAAGCTGATGGAAATCACTAAATGTGGGTTTATAACCAAGCTTTGTGCCACACGATTAGTGTGATAAATAAAGATATTACCTGATTGCTCAAACTGAATCTGATGAAACGGAACTCGGACCAATAAACCAACAACTCAAAACCAAGCGCCCTTACCACTAAACCAATGTACCTTCATTAACCGTCAGTATTAGATCCGTGAGCGTTTGAATGACGCTTCAAAGTGTTTGGTATATATGGCGATGCTTTCTCTTAAATATACACTTTTAAGAGGAATTGAAAGCTATCAGAATTATGTGGTGTATTTGCGCAGTACATCTCGAACAATCTAATCACACACAAACTTGTTAAGATACTAAATATGGGAAACAAAAGGTCAACTAGACAAATTAAAAGACAAGCGAAAACGAAGACAATAACAAAGTATACAATGTGAAAAGTAGTTCCAACTCGAATCTAATGAAAATACTTAGCATGAATGCTATCAACAAAGATGAATTTAATTCATTAAAACTTATAGGTTCGGTGTATCCTAATTTGAGAAGACTACCGAAAACTCACAAACCCAATAACCCCTCACGTCCAATTCTATCAATGTGATCAACAACACAATCTTGCAAAATGGTTGACAAGAGTGTTAAGCCCTATCTGATGCCAATTTTGTAAGTAATCTTTGGAAAAATTAATTAATTACCTAATGGACAATAATATAAAAACTGGGACAATCTTCTTCTTTATAGTAAACACTTTATTTAAAAATGAATCTTTTCGAATTTATTTATATATTTGAACACAAATATTGATGCAAAGGGGCAATGAATACATATGCGCCACACAAGTCACTTGGTTTGTGTGTGGGCTATGATACTGCCCTGTGACCGAGAATTAGTTCATACACCGCTTGTTCCCTCAGGATACTGTAGCCCAAATGCACTATTGGTTCGGAATCAGGGTTTTCCATCTCCCCTAAGTGGATCCTCCATATCCACCAACCTAGTTAAAGCGTCGGACATGCGCTTTTTGTCCTTTCAATTTCGCAAACAACACCGCCGCGAGAAAGTAGTGAGCAGGACTTCCCTAGTAGTGGTTGTATACGGGTGGTCATGTGAGAGAATTTCAAGAGGTAGAGCTGACTCTCCCCACTCTCGGCCGTACCAGGGCATTTGGGGGCAATAGATATTTTATGTGACTATATTTCATGAAATAACCTTCTATTACCATTTCCTGTTAAAACTCATAAATAATTATTGCTAATATTATTATCACTATTATTATTACGATTATTATACACTGGCAATGTGAAATATACTTTCAAAGAGGAGCATTTATGACAGATTGATGGCATAGCTAAGGGTAGTCATTTAGGACCGTTCCTGGCTGATGTATTTATGGCATAGAAGGAAAACCTAGGTGAAGTCTCAATTGAAAAGATGTGTTTGTATGAAAGGTACGTGGATGACATCATAGTCATAGGTGATAAACGTGAAGAGGTGAACTGCTTGTCAAGAGAAATCAACACACGTCATAAGTACATTTCACTTACAAAAGAGACGAACAACCAGTTACCCTTTCTAGACATACTGACTAATAGAAGAGACGATGATTTCATTAAACCTTCCGTATACAGAAAGTTTATATGGACAGGGAAACACCTTAGTTCCCATAGTCACTGTTCAGTTCAGTACAAACGTGGAATAATGAATGACTTATTCAATAAGACCAATCATATTTGCCCTAGCTCGTAGCTTAAGCACTGATGAGTAACGGTTATTCGTTGAAGTATATAAACCAGATAAAGGTAGTAATATGAACATACGTTTTGGCACCCAAAAAGAGAGTCTATATTATTTTAGTATTTAGCGGTAAATCAAATAGTCTCATGTTGAAACGAAGATGCAAATTATCCATCAGTAGAACATTTTATGCAGCCTAACTTATCATTATCGAAAAGTCGAAATATATGGTTCGCCAAAAACCCAAACAGTATGTAAACAATTGTGTCACATCCCAGTGCATTTATTAATTTACATGTGTTGAAAAACGTACATAGGTAGGAGCAATCGTGAACTGCAAGTAAAGGTAGATGAACGCATACCTAAACGGCTACATAAACAAATAAATTTCTGTGATCAAATAAAACTGCAAGAGAGATAAATATATTCCTCCATTGCGAAACATTTGATTGAAAACGATAATTCGGCTGATTTTGAGTCCCCCTTCGCAATTTTGTACAGCAGCTTTCAAGGAAGTAAACCAAAGCTTATTGAAGCCTTGGTTGTACGGAAGTTGAGAACCACTGTTTAAAAAATGTGTTCTTAACCAACCCTAGTAAGACTGATTTATTATCCAGCGTGGTTTTCACATTGTATACTTTATTACTATCATTGTTTCTGATTACCCGTTAATTTGCCGATTTTCGATATACAATGCCTCAACAAGTTTGTATGTAATCAGATCGTTTGAAATGCATTGCGCAAATATATCACATAGTTCTGCCCCCGAATACCCTAGTACGCCTAAGGGTGGTGAGTCAGCACTCCTCAAAATTCTTTCACATGACAACGCGCGTACAACCACTATCAAGGAAGTCCTACTCACTGCCCTCTTGCAAACGGAGTATTGTTTAACGAAATTGGGAGGACGAAGAACAAATATACGATTTTTTAACCGGGTTAGTGAATACGGAGGATCCACCTAGGGTGGTTAAAAGACCCTGATTCCAAATCAACGGTGCACTAGGGCTTCATGACCCTGGGGAGATAGACAAAGGCGTATGAACCTACTATTGGTCACTGGCCACTATGGGACTTCACCTCCTAACGTTACCTAACTACCTTGTGGTTTAGACCTCTAAGTCAAAAACTCGATGAGTGGCCATCCAAGAAAACCACCTGTTTCGGTTTGGACGTCCGAGAAGTATCCCAGTCCTCACACAAATCACTTGATTTGTGTTTTGTAACTGTCTGGAAGTCGTAGGACGAAACTTACAATAAGATTCATACCAAGTTTTCTCAACACATGCAGTCGCGCACGCGATTCAGGTATCAGCATAAGGAACATTGACACTTAGAAAAGTTTACACTTAATAAAAAGTGAAGTCAACCATATTATTATACAATCCAGCTAGTCAACATGCACGAAATCACAGCAGTTGTACAGTTTGTAGTTACACGAAGTGTCAGTTATCACTAAAAGGAACAATGAAATGAAACAAGGATTTCTCGGAGGGCATAGCCAGCTATCGATGCGAAAAAAATCAGAGTGAAGCAGAAAAAGGCATTTCGAAAATATCGACACAAGAACACGTTGTCATGGTTTAAAGTGAATGACTAACTTTTTAGGGACAGTAATGTGTGATGAACACCTTCTGATGTAATGATTTTCATTAGCTCTTCCAAAATGATTCAAGCAAACAACTAAAGATAAAAAGTTCTCATGTACCAATGTCGAAGCTAAGTACATTTAAGATACTAATCTAATTTATACGTTACGATTTTACAGATACAATCAGTAAGTCACATGACAAAAAAGCAGTCAGTCAAGTTAAAAAAGGGGCATGTCAGTTTAAAAGCTATTTGCACGACAAAAATTACAACAACATACCAAATTCGTCTCATGGAATAAGCTTGAATTTCAGTGAAGCACCAAATGGATCTCCATAACAATCCACGGAACATCCATAATATACATATGATAAGGACTTATTAGGAGGTATATATGTGAAAATCAACTAGATCATTATTATTTTAAAATTAAAAAACGCGCAGCAACGACAATTGAAGCACTGGGAGAGAATCAATCAGCACAAAGTAACACGCGAAGTCAAGCTACGCGCATATGAGTAGATGATTGTCTAATTGATACGTAAAAACGAATTCAAAATTAAACTGGTCACCAACTCTTTGAAAGTGCGAACAATGCGTTTCGTATCCTTACAACTTTCATCTGTTCTCTTAAAGCTGTCTTTTTATTGAATTTTACCACACTATCACAAAAACATACTACTTGACAACGAATGATAAATGAGAGGATTCGGTTGTTATTTTAAAAGCTCCCGTAAGTCACAGACTAACGTAACAAAATAGAGTGATGTATTTGTACTAAAACACGCCTCAACTTGTAGCGGAATACCTTTGATACTTCAACTGGTCAGTTTCGAAATTTTACAGTACCATAGTACCATAGTACCACAGAAATAATCTTTTCTACCATTCATCATCGGTTTGTTTTGGGAACGCCTTAAAAATATTACTTAATAAGACACTGGTATACCAGTAGTGTCTGACCTCACATCACTTGTGTCAATTTCACTGTACAGACGGGTTATACTATTGCTATTGAAAGTACGCCAGTCTTCTAATTGTAGTTGCACACATATAAGATGTACGGTTTAGTGAATGTTTGTAAGAGACGCTTATCGTACTACAGTAATCAGTCTGTCGCTTTTGGTTTATTCGGTGAAGTAATGATTTGAAGGTAGTACTAAACGAGATATGAGTTTTATACATAAGATAATTTTTGACCGAAGGTATCAAGTAGATAATTAATTTCTGCCCCAACAGATAGCAAGCTTTGAGCGTCGCTTCTTCTGAAAACCTGCAGAAAGTTCGAATACAAAGTCTGAAGACAGTATGGATTTTGTTAAATCATCTAGTGAAATGAGAGAGTTTTCCCAAAGTTTGATTCGACTCAGTGGTCACCTTTTTGAGGAAATCCCAGAGCTGGGGAAATTTTAGGGTCGTTTTAGCATTTCCCTGAAGTTTTTAATCAGACTCCTTAACCCAGGTGTTTCGACTGTTCATAAAAACGTTTCAACTTAACGTTTTGGTGCTTCGGGTGTCGCTCCGGTCACGAGTTTTCATTGTCAGTTCTAAAATCATGAAGCAACTGTATGCATCCTGAAACATTGTGGAAACGTTGCCACGGGTATTAGGAAATTGACAGCGCCTTTACTTTTCACACCTTTGTAATCGAAGTATACCAATGCAGTCAAATTAGAAGATGTAAATAAAAGGCTCTGGAGATATTTTTTGAAAACTATCGATGTGTCGAGAAGCGTTTGATCTAAGTTGGCCATTAGTTGCCAGGAATGTGAAGCACGGCGTACCAACTCGTAATCTGGTGCGGATGAGTAGCCGAGTGCTTTCAGCTAGGTGTATCTAGTAAGACTGATGAAGTCATCATTAATGTCGAAGACTTACGGAATTGTCTGTTTTGGGGATTTATTTACCGTCACAGCTCGCCTCAGCCCGAATGTGTAGCGATAACCTCAAGACCTGATCAGTCAGAAATTCAAAATCTACAGGTTTGCCGTTTGTGAACACTTCTGACAGCGTGCTATGTTCATCCGCCTCTGGTTGGCTTTATTTAATATAAGGTTTCACGCGGTACAGTATAACAATAAAAAATATTCAATGCAAATAATACACCCCAATTTGTAACTGGAGCACGGTATATTGATCCACTTGCAACTTATAACCTCAAATAACAATAGAACCAAATTCTGATTCGAGTACCAAAATTTACCCGTAAATTACAAATAATCGACCCATATATATCGTTCTTCAATTTTTAAGTTTCGGGAGAAAAACCTTCAGAATACCGAGGCAAAGGCAGAGTTAAACTAAAATATCTGAGGTTCAGTCCTAATTGGGAAGCATAAATAGAAGTGTATGTGTTTGTCGTAAAGACGGAAAGCCTAAGAGGAAAGAAGAAACTGACACATATATTTATAGACAACATGCAGTAGCGTGAAAATATTTGCATAGTGAATTTTTGGGTTTTCTGATAAAATATACACACACGTATGAGCACATTAAGAATAAAATAGTTATTTTGACAAACAGCACAAACAAACGAGATTGTAGCGGTAAATAAATCCCCAAACTAAATAGCTCTGTAGGTTTTCGACATTGGATGCTGACAATATGTTTTAGTGGACTCATCTAGCTGAAGGCGCTCGGTCATGCATCCGCACCAGATCACGTGTGGTAACGCTGTGCTCAACATCTACCTCAATCGCTAGCCAGATCAGATCAGAGATTTCCGATATATTGGTTATCGCCAAATACACTCTTCCGATCTCCTCGACTGTTTTTTTATTTCTCTCGGTGGGAAAAAAGTATATTAGAAGGTGTTACTGGTAGAAGCGTTGTCAAACACTGAATACCTGTATCATCATCATTGGTGAGACCGTCGTGATCTGGTACACCTAATTGCAACTGTGAATCTGTTCCTTTTTGGGATTTTTATATATCATCGCCTTATTTTTTTTAACATTGTGATTTTTTTCTCATGTTTTTTTCTTGGATATATATATATATATATAAATATTTTTTCCCCTCGTTCATTATCGTACTTCATATTTCATCATGACTGAACAGACACCCAAAGTACTCAAGCTTAAGACTTTGTCCCCGCCTTCGTTTCAACTCATGCCTTTCTGGCCCGACAATATCGAAGCTTGGTTCTGCTACGCAGAAGCCTGTTTCTTCGAGCACGGCGTGATCGACACACGTGCACAATTCGTCGCAGTAGTCAAGACACTACCGCGCGAATTCAACAGGTACGTAACACCTAGTATGTTTACTAGTGATGTTTCCGAACCTTACGAAATCCTAAAACGATCGATTCTTAAACGAGGAGACCAAACCAATCGACAAAGGTTAGATCAACTTTTCAATAACATCGACATGCTACACGGTTCTGCGTACGGACATGTTGCAACGAATGAGAGAAATGATAGACCTAAGAACTTTCGACGAAGGCCTATTTAAACAACTTTTCTTGTCTAAACTTCCTCAACAGGTGCAAGCGGTTCTGGTCTCGTTTCAGAACAACGCCTTAGACGAGCTAGCTGCATCTGCTTGATCGTATTTTAGAAATAACGAAATCGTCTACTACAGAGGTATTTTCAGTCAAGGAAAAGCCTCAAACGACTCAGAATGACATAACCGAGTTATGTCATACACTTGCGCGTTATCTTAATCTTCGTACCGACCGTAATCGCTCACACAGCCCATGTAAAAGCATTTCACGTAAACGATCTGTCTCTAGACCACGAGAAACGGTTAACCCCGACTGGTGCAGGTAACATAAGCAATATGGAAAGTCTTCCAGAAATTTCAGAAAACCCTGCAATTTTTCAAACACGAAAACGACTGACTCGAAAAACAATTTGGGAAACTTCCAAACCGGCATGCGTTAACGGCAACCGTAGCCGGCGAACTTAAACGTCTGCTGTACGTCACAGATGTGACAACGAGAGTTCGCTACCTCGTCGACACTGGCGCAGAAGTTAGCGTTCTCCCAGCAAATCATAACGACCGGCTCCACAAATCAACTCTAAACTTACAGGCGGCAAACACAAAACCGATCGCTACATATGGCAAAAGGTACGTTTACCTTAACGTGGGCTTACGCAAACCCATTCATTGGATTTTCGTTGTTGCAGATGTTTCTATGCCGATCATTGGTATGGATCTTCTACAACACCATAATCTAATCATCGACACGCGCAAACGGAGGCTAGTAGATGGAAACACTAATTTATCCGTTTACGTAACCTAATTTACTGGTTGTAGATTATTCCCAGTCACAGTTAAGCATATGATAGACCCACTCTATCAACCACTACTCGATAAATATCCTGAGATACAACAAACTCAACCGAAACTACCGTGTGTAACCAGCAATGTTACACATCACATCACGACTACAGGACCACCTGTATTCTCTAAAGAACGACGACTAGCTCCTGAAAAGCTAGGGTTAGCGAAAAACGAATTCGACCACATGATAGACTTAGGAATCATACGACCGTCAAACAGCTCTCATGCATCTCTGTTGCACACGGTCCCTAAATAGGACAGCAACGATTGGCGTCCAATTGGTGACTATCAGAGATTGAATGCAAAAACCATTCTCGATCGTTACCCATTGCCTCACATTCACGATTTGACAGCTACCTTGAAAGGTACAACTGTCTTTTCGAAAATCGACTTGGTTAAATCGTATAACCAAATCTCTATGGCTACTAACGACACACAGAAAACAGCTATCATAACTCCTTTCGGACTCTATGAATTTTTGCGAATGCCTTCCGGTCTAAGAAACGCTGCGCAAACATTCCAAACATTCATAGACGACGTTTTTCGAGGTCTCAACTTCGTACATGCGTATGTTGATGACTGCCTAATCGCAAGTCCGGACAGAGAATCACATCTCAAGCATCTGGACCTTGTTTTCGAACGATTACAAAAACATGGCATTACCGTAAACGTTCAGAAATGCCAATTCGGAACCGACTCGTTAGATTTCCTAGGACACACTATCGATGCTCAAGGCATTCGACCTCTTAAGACCAAAGTGGCGGCCATTCTGGATTACCCAGAACCGACCAACGTCAAACAATTACGCACGTTTAACGGCCTGGTAAGTTTCTATAGACGCTTCATACCAAAATTCGCATTACTTATGAAACCTCTTACCGACCAACTTCGTGGAAATGCGAAATCCATTAATTTGGACGACACCGCACGAAAAGCGTTCTCCACAGTTAAGGAACTGATCGCTGAAGCAACAATGCTCGCACATCAGGACACCAAAGCACCCATTAGTATCGCAGTAGACGCATCCGACTCGGCAATCGGAGGGGTCTTACAACAATGGGTTAACAGCTCCTGGCAACCCTTGGCATTTTTCTCTAAAAGGTTGCTAGACACCGAATCGAGGTACAGCACATTCGGTAGGGAACTCCTAGCTATGTATTGTGTTGTACGGCATTTCCAACACTATATCGAAGGCCGTGAATTCACTCTTTTCACGGACCATAAACCGCTCACTTTCTCGT